CATTGTTTTACTTAATTACATGTCAGATGACAGTGGCAGCTCTGTGCTGGCAGGTCTGGATGCTAGAATGGTGCCTTTGGGAGAACAGGGTCTTCTGTAGTGTTTATGAGGTAGATTATTGAACACACAACACACGTACACACACAATTGAAGACAAACAAACAAAAAGAGGTAAGGAGAAAATAAGGTATGAGTCTTTTTTTTTTTTTAAATAAAAATATATTTCTTTATTGATTTCAGAGAGGAAGTGAGGAAAGAGAGATAGAAACATCAAAGATGAGAGAGAATCATCGATCAGCTGCCTCCTGCACACCCCTCACTGGGGATTGAGCAGGCAACCCAGGCATGTGCCCTTGGCTGGAATCGAACCTGGGACCCTTCAGTCCGCAGACTGACACTCTATCCACTGAGCCAAGCAGACCAAGGCAAGGTATGGGTCTTTTCTCTGCCTTAAACCACAATTAATGAAATGTTGAAAAGCTATCCCGGTGGAATGAAAGACTAAGGAGAGGAAATCATCTACCCTCTATGACCTGTGAGACCAGTGATTTTAAAAAATCAAGTAACACTTTAAAGGGAGGTACTATGAAGAACATTACTGTGGAGATTTAAATAAGACTTTATGCTTTGATAGTAAATAATAGTATCTGGCAACTGAGAGAGATTGAGTTTCTCATGCAAAATTAAATGTAAGTATATTTGTACAAACCTTCAAAACACGATTATTTTCCTAATAAAGGCAAGAAAACTAAGCCAATAGAGTTGACAAGAGAATGTGTTAACAGAATCCTTCTTAAAGGCATTTATTTTCTGATACTCAGACATAGAGAATGAATAAATGGTCAAGCCCCTATCCTCAAATGCATCTATACAAGACTTTGTATGTAATAGTTGGATAAAGATGATAATATTATTTTAACCACCACATTTGAAGCTTTAGGTAAGCATAAAAAAAAAATTGACAGGCTCAGTGATGTTAGAATCTTCTTAGACTATCTTGATAAGATTTATATTACTACCAGTAAGTTACTCAAATGTCAAGATAAAGCCAGCTACATTATTGAAAAACTTTAGCTAAGATATATTTTAGAATTTTAGGTTTTAATTTTAAATATAGTTTTAGGATACATTTCAGAGAAATATGTAATTACAGTAATATATGTTCATTTAAAAAATGTAGAACTTATATAGACCACACAATCACAGACATCAATTTAGGATGACTATAAAGTTATAATTTGTGATTTTATTTATTTTTTATAGCAACTTGTTCCCTCATCCAAAATAGTCTATAGTAAAAAAAAAAAAAAAAAAAAGAAACTTTGCAATATATCCACATCAGTATCATTATGTCTAAATTTATTCTGCAAAGTATGAAAATAATGTTCCAGTTAACATTTTTTATATAAAATCAATTTGAAACTATTTCTGTATTCAAACTGAATGGAAAAACAACCTTTAGGAGATATTTACTCCAACTGTAGCTACCATTCCTACACTCATAATTTCTCTCCCCCACTCTAATCCTACTTAAAAAGGTTCCCAAGTTAGCATTCTTCATTTCTTATTTTAAAATAGAAAACTTAAATAATGAAGGTCAATTAGGTTTGTTTGTTTTGTTTCCAATTAAAGATTGTTTTTCATGAACCTTAATAATTTCATATACTTGCTCAATTATATCTAAAGAGCTAACTGTATTTTGTCTAAAACACAGTTTCCTAAAATTCCTGAATTTACCTCCCTGAAACCTTAGGTCAGCGGATTAATTTAGAATACAAAACCCAATGGACAAAAATAATCTGGATAAAAATAACTCTCTGATGCCTAATTTAGGAAATTAACCTGTTGAAATTTCTGGCTCTTAGCAAGTCATTAGAAGAGGAGGAGTAAGTAATAATCTTGTACAGGCCAAAGCCTCTTGGAGGCCACTTGTCAAGCATTTTGCACCTTCCCAAACACAGGAATAATAAGGGCAGTTTTATGTAAGAAATTAAAGTCATTTTCTCCCCCAGGGAGAATAGGCTTGACCATCAGAAACTTCTTCCCAAGTACTTAACACAGTGGTCGGCACACTGCGGCTCTCAAGAAATATGCGGTTCTTTGGCCCCTTGAGTGTGGTGGCTCTTCCACAAAACACCATGGCCTGTGCGAATCTATTTTGAAGAAGTGGCGTTAGTAGAAGTTTATGTTTAAAAAATTTGGCTCTCAAAAGAAATCTCAATCGTTGTACTGTTGATATTTGGCTCTGTTGACTAATGAGTTTGCCAACAACTGTCCTAACGCATGACAACACATTTCCAAACAGCAGCTACAATTTAAAGTCAAGAGCCCTTCTTCTGATAAGGGTGGAAGGTGTAAAATACCAAATAAGTATCCTTCTACTGGATGATAAAAGCTCAGCCTGAAGCCCAAAGCTGGCAACTGTTATCTGAACGAGCCAGAGGACCCTGCGATAGTACCAACAGGGTGATAGTCACCGGAAGGGTCCCTCATTTCTTTTTCTCCAGTCTCTTCCTACTTCTCAACCATGAGGAATTAACGTTCTCATGCCCTTCCTGAGCCCCAGTGGTCATACACACATCAGTGAGCATTGAGGGCCTGTCACCTCACTCTCCTTGGGTACCATCCCTTTCCCCTGTGGGCCTCCTCATGCGCCTCCTCCTTGCCAAGTGTATAATGTCTGTCAATCTTGCTGTGATCCACTGTATAGTTTACCTGTTGTCCTCCCAAAGTTGATGGACTGTCCCCAGAGATGCCTCTCCGCCCTGTGTGTCAGTCTTTCTTTGCTCCCTGGATCTGTTTCTGATCGGGGACTAGCCTCTTCCTGCTGGCTTCTTCGCCTCCGGCCTTTCTGTTTTTCTCTTTACATCCCCTGACCTACCTTCTTCCCACTGTCATTCCTTCCCACGTCCTCCCCTCGGAACAGGCAAGCTTATCTCCATCTTGCAGGGCTGAGTTTCTCTCTCCTGTCTGCCTCTGTCCCTCAGCCTGCCTATCTGGCTTCCCCCATATGGGCCTCCACACTCCACGCTGGTGCTGGTCTCTTCCCTGCAGGTGCACCTGCCTGGCAGCAGCTACTAACACATGCAGTATTGTATTTCCTGTCTCTCATTGCATTCCTATTGCTGAGTGGACACTGACCTCTCAGCCACACATGAGACGTTTTCCCTGGGATTTCATGGTAAAGGTAACTTTCTCCCTCTGCATGCACTCCTCCCTCCCCTCCCAAGTCTGTGTGTTTCTCCTTTTATGCCTCTCGGGAGGGTAACATATGTGCCTTGTTGTGTACATCCATGTGTCCACTCAATTCTGTGAGTGCTCTTCTGAGACCACGCTCACCTCTCTCTCTCTCCTGATGTTTACACCTACACTGTCGTATGAGTTCATATGCTCCCCAAGAGATGCACAGCTGAATGCCTCCCGCTGTGCGCATGTGTATGCAGGGGGCCTCTCTGAATGGGAGTCTCCCTTGGCTCAGGTTCACATGCTCCCTGTGAACCAGGGTTCACACCTCTCCCCGCCGTGGCTCTCTACCTCTGTCTTCCCTGTATGCATTTAAAGTGCCTGGCACTAGTGGGAGCTCAACAGATGTTCCATTTCCACTTTTAACTGAACAACCGAGTCTGCATCTGAGTGTCCTTCTGTGCTTGTTTTATGACATCAGTTAATTAGAGCGTGTTCCCTGGACATGAACTGAGCTATTGGTTAGGATGCTCTGTAAGTTCTATCTCCCTCCAACCGTCTTCTCCCCTCTTGGAGTAAAGGTTACCAGTCCACATATGGTAGACACCTCCCCTTACGCGATGTGTCCATTCCGGTCTCCCTCATCCACACATGTCCATAAACGGCTTCTCCACGCACCCAGACTGCAGCGTCTCTTCTCTGTCCCTCACTTTTTTTTTTTTTTAAACGTGAGATTTGTACTCCAATTGCGGCTCGTGAGTCTACCAGAGCCTTCGCTGTACTCGAGTTGTGTACGGAGCGCAGTGCGGGGTAAGCCACTGGACGCGGTGCCTCCTCCCCCCACCCTGGATCTCCTTCGGTCTCCACGTCCTTGAGTCCCCTCCCTCCCTCCCTCCCCCCGGAGACGCCGGGCATCTTTCGGGGGTACGAGAAGCCCCCATGAATCTGCCCCCTAGTAACCCATCCCTAGCTCCTGGGAGAGCGCTGGGTGTGTAGCTCCCGGGATCGCGGCGTTTGCGCGTCTCGGGAACCCAAAGCGCCTCGTCCCCAAGTCCCCGGGAGCGCGGGGCACGAATGCGTCCCCCTCCCCACTCGCCCGGGTCCCAGCCTTGGCGCGTACAGGATGTGTGTCCCCCTCCCCTGCCCCGCATATGGGGGGGTGCCTGTGCCCCCATCTCTGCGAGCACACGGTGTGCCCCGCCGCACACCAAGCGCCTATGTCCCCAAGTTCCCTGCGAGTACAAGGTGTGTCCCCTCTCCCTGAGCGGAGCGCCCAGGTCCCGTCTCTACGGGTCTGCGGTGCCCGTCACCCCTAAACGCGGACGGCGGGTGCCCGCGGGTCCTCAGGAGCTCCTTACCGGTGCGCTGCACCCCCTCCCACCCCCACCCCCACCCCCACTTCGGCCGTAAGCGATGTGGTTTCCTCCCTGGACTCCTGGTCCCCCTCTCCCTCGCGGGGACAGAAAAAGCCAGGAAACCCGCGGGCGCCGTCGGAAAGTCCCGCAGCGGCGGCGGCGGCGGCGCAGCCAAGGCGGAGCGGCGGCTGCCCCGGCCCCGCCGCCAGGGGCCGCCCGCCCGCCGGCCTCTCCGCGCCCGAGCGCCCGGCGGGCCCAGGACGGCGGCGCCTCCGGCGACCCTGCCCGGCCCGGCCGCCGCGGGCATTGCCACGGGCATTGCCACGGGCGCTGCCGGGAGCGGCGGCGAGTCACCGCACCCCCGGTCCCGCGACGGGTGCCGGGGCCGGGGGCGGGCGCGGGCGCGGCCAGGCGGTGAGGGGCGCCCTCGCCCTCCCCGAGCCCCGCGGCCAGCTCGCTCACCTTGTGGCTCTGGTAGGTCTCGAGCGCCCGGATCGCCGTCTCGGTGAGCTTCACATGCAGCACGGTGATGTTGTCCTGCCCCAGCCGTCCGCACGACAGTCCATAGCGCTGCTCTTCCCGCAGGCCCGCCGCCCCCCCTGCCGCCATCTTAAACTCCCCGGGGTGCCGACGCCGCTCCGGCTCCGGTCTCCACTGCGGCCGCGGCTGCTGCTCGGGCTCCTGCGGCCGCCGCCACAGCTACGGCCATCCCGCGGCTGACGTACTGTCATAGACTGCGCGCAGCCAGACCCCGGGCTGCCGCCGCCGCCGCCGCCCCGCCTCCGGCCCCGGGCCCCGCCCCCGGCTCCTCTCACTGGCCCGGCTCCCCGCAGAGCCGCCCTCATTGGCCGCCGCCCTCCCAGGGGGCGGAGCCCAAAGTCGCCGGAGTTTTGCTCGCAGGACGGGACAGCCGAGAGGTGAGACAGGCTGACGTCGAGGTGACGCGCAAACTTAATCACATCTTACGTCATGTCTGGTTGTCTAGGCTCCCCGGCCACGATTGGGTAGGCTGGATTCGGGGGGGGGGAGGGGTCCCTTGCTAATGGATTGGGGGGGATAGGGGAGGAGGTCCCTTGCTCATGGGGTGTCCAAGTGTAGCCTGGTCCGTTTACTTGGAGTCAGAGTCCTGAGAGGGGAGGGCCCTCAACCCCAAAAGTGTGTCTGAGTGTAAGGAGGACTCCGCCCCCCGACGGCCCCGGGGAGCTCCTCGAGATTGGGGGGTGTGTACGGTTGAGGGAGGATGCAGTAGGCGGAGTCCCTGGAGGGCTGCTCCCCAAAAACTCAGGCTAGCCCTGTGGAGCAGATGGCATAGGGGAGGACGCCTTCTTGGTCTTTGAGCCCTGAACTTGGAATTCGAGAATGGATCTTAGACTCGAGGCTGGTGTGTCCGAGTGTGTGGAACAGCTTAAAGACAATATCGTGACTAAGGCTTAAACGCTTTTGGTGCGGTGGGTGTCCTGTTACGGAAAACAGGACCCTTCAGTGTCTTCTTTCCCACGCCGTGCCCGCCTGGGACCCCATAGGCACAGGGTCCGTTCCCCTGAGCTCGCCGTGGGGGCAGGGTGTGTGTGCCTTTTCGGTGGGGGGGGGGTATTCTTGGCCGGGTGGTTACCTCCCTTTAAAGGATCCTGGGAGAGGAGAGCTAGCCTCCACCTAAACCAAAAGGAACGTCGGCACCTCTCACGATCCGGTGTGGAGTCCCGTCCGTCACATTTAACAGGGGTGCGGGAACACCTGGCCGGGGCTTGATCTGTTGGGGTTAAGCCGGGAAGATGGGGTGTGAGGGCGGCGGCGGGCCCGGCATAGTTTCCATTCCTCTCGCCGCTCCGGGCGTGGGCGTGGCCGGAGGAGGGACCGGCGGGGAGCCCTCCCGAGGCTGCGTGTGCCCGGGCTGCCCGGCTCCGCGTCCCAGTGGATGGGGTAACTGGGTGATCAGAAACCACTGCAAAACCAGCCACTGGAAGGCTTGGGAATGTGGAAGAGCAGTTTTTAGAGATTACTTCGGGGGGGGGGGAAGGAAAGTATTGGGACGCTCGTTGTTTCAGATTGTAAATTCCTGTTGCGTTTTTCAGGGATCCCCCCCCCCAAAAAAAAAAAAAAAATGTACAGGCAGTGTTTCCCGTCCTTTTAAATTGGATAGGGCTAGATTTTCCAAAAAAGGTCCAAGTGGGAATGTTTCATGATTTACCGCCCCAGCCCCCCCCCCCCCCCCCCCCCCCCCCCGGTCCCCGCACTTGAATAAATTCCTTCCTCCGCCCACAGGCACACTACCTCTTGATTCAGAACCTCAAAGCATTGTACGTGTACAATATGAATTACGGAACTGATTCTTCATTTATAGAGTAAGGGTTCAGTGGAAACACCTGTATAAGTGTTGGTTACATCACAGGAGAGCATTTTAAAAAATTGACTTAATTTCAAACCACTAGCATTGGCTAGCTGTTAAGACGTGATTAGCACTTGTTAATTTAGTTTACTAGAGTGTTAATGATCTTACATTCAGTGAATAGAGAAATTAAGGGAATCAGAAAAGAAATTAAAAATAAATTTATACTTGATTTTTTTTTCTTGTGTTTGCTTTACTTTGGTAGGAAACTATTTACTTTGACAAGTCTAAAGCCTTAATTATTTGTCAGGGGGAGGAGTTTGACCAGAACAAGTAAAACCTGTATCCCATTGCTTTTCCTGTGAGGGTGGGTAAATCCCCTCCCACATGGCATCTTAATATGGCCTTCTCTTTCTCAGAACTTCTGATGACATCCGGGGTGGGGGAGGAGCAAGGGTGGTTTTCACTGCAGTTTTCAAATGTCTAACCTGCAGTCACTTTCTAGTAATTGATTTTATTTTCTTAATTGTAGTAGAAGAAATTTTATCACGTCATTCCCTATTTTAGGGAGTAACAATCTTTTATTGGGTAATAAATTATTGTCCTGGGTTATTGTTTGTAGTTTTCCTCTTTTGAGCTTTTCCAGGAAAGCATGACCATATACAAAGTAAAACGATAATCTAGTAGTGTTGCTTAGTACACATTTTAACTGCCTGAATCAGATGATCAAGTGGAGATACAAAGATAATTCCTTTTGAGGGGGCTAATGAAAGTTGCTCTTTGGAAAGTTCACGATACTAAAGATATTTTCTGTATTATTATTATTCAGTTTAAATAATTAACAAATAATTATTGAATGCCAATTAATTATAAAGTGCTGTGGGCGGTTAAAAATTAAATGATATAGTCTTTTTAAAATGACATAGCCTTTTATTTAAAGGAATTTTCTGTTTAACATAGCAAATGAGTGAAAATTCTCAAAGCAAAGCACGTTGAGAATTAGTAAATGCTAATATGTTGGTATTACACAAGTGGGTGGTAATGGCGATAAGTTCAAAAATTCCAAGAAAGAAGTCTGGAGAGTTTTTTTGAAAGTCGTGAAACTTAAACATCTCTCAAGTGAAGAGTAGATCTAGATGGAGGTGGGGATGGTATAGAAAAGGGAGAGGCCAACTAAAATTTATCTTAATGATCATCCTAAGTGAACCCATTCATTTTTTGAATGAGTAAATTGAGACACCATTAATTTAAAAGCAACTAGCTGTCAAACTTAAATTTAAATAGCAAAGGTTATTCAAGCAACGAGTGAGTTTATTTGAGAATAGCAGAGGAATTGCAATTTGGGACTTACAAACTATGGTGAACCATAGGCAAGTACAAAGAGATAAGCTTTTATTGGGTTTCAAATTAGGGAGAGTTGTTTTGAACAGGAGCCTATTGGTGGAAAAGGAGAATTCAAGGTCATGGCAGTTTTTCATTAGCAGCAAGTGGAGAGCAGTTACTGATGCTGAGGCAAGCAGGGAAGAAATCTTTCATCTTGCTGGCTCTTTAAGCTTCCATGAGTGTTAGTGCATCAGAGCTCTCCCTTCATGGTTTCCTGACTCCAATTTAAATGTTTTCTCCATTCATTTTCATACTACATAACTTATTACAACCAGGAGAAATAGAGTCTAAATCAGCTGTGTCCTTCTAGTCACTATATTAACCTAATGGTTACTATTTGGATTTAATAACTGAGAAAAATTGTCTTACATAGTAATTCAATGCAAGAAAAAGGCAAAAAACAAGTAATCTGATGTAGGGCCTGTTCCATCTCTGATGTTTAGTATACCATGCAGGCAGGAGGATGTGTGAACATCAAGGTCTTTGCTGGCCTTCAAATGCTGGGCCACCCCTCATTCCTGGTTGCCACATACTTATTGACCATTTCTCACTTATCTTTTGGAGCTGAGGTCACCAATTCAGATGCCTTCGGAGGCCAGTAGGTACCCAAAATGATGGAAGCAGGCCATACACAATGCCTCAAGAACAGAAGGTGCTGAACTGTGAACTGGAGATGTTTGAAGGGCTTAGTGGTTTTTAGATGTAACTGATTGTTGCCAGAAGAAGATGCAGGGATCCAGTGTTGTCCAAACTTCTCATTTTTCAAGAAAAGCTTGGAATTACAGATTTATTTGATTCTTATTTGTTGGCTAACTAAAAGTTTTAATAAACATTTTGTGGGCATTAAAAGTCTTTGGGCCTAGTTAGCCCACAGCTTCTAGTTTCCAATCTTTTCTTTAGCGATTTCCAGTACAAAAGGTCATTTAGTCTTATACTGGTTTTAATGGTTTTGTGAGTTAGTTCTTAAAGCCACTTATAAAAAAGTTTGTACTAATGTCTTACTACGGGGCAATGGCCTCTGTTATGATAAGAAAACACAGTCTTAGAGAATTACTGGAGGCCCTGTGCATGAAATTCACGGGAGGGAGGGGATCACTCAGCCCAGCCTGTACCCTCTTGCAGTTCAGGACCCCTCAGGGGATGCCCGCCTGCCAGCTTAGGGCCTAAGCCAACAGTCAGACATCCTTCTCTTAGTTCGGGCCCCCTCGGTCCTTACCACCCACCTGTAGCTGTGGCGGTAGATGCTCCCGCCAATGCCGCTGTGCTAGCCAGCCATGAGCCCAGCTTCTGGCTGAGAGGTGCTCCCTTTTGCATTGAGCATCTGCCCCCTGGTGGTCAGTGCATGTCATAGTGACTGGTTGTTCCGCTAGTTGTTCCAGTAATTGTTGATTTGCATATTAGGTTTTTATTATATAGGATAGCACAGAAGCTCTCTGGAAGAATTTCCAGGTGGAAATTTTTCCTCCTTAGAATTTCTCCTGATGTCCCCTGCCCCATTGTATTTGATTCCACACTATCACACTGCTCTCCTGTTAAGACTTTGCTCAGTGCTATGCAAAAATCTTCTTTCCTTATACACTTAAGTGTAATGCTCCTTTTCCAGCATTTGAAGGCCAGCAAAGACCTTGATGTTTACACATCCTCCTGCCTGCATGGTATACTAAAAGAACTTCACTAAAGCCCTGGCTGGTGTTGCTAGGTGTTAGATTTCTTCTTCTTCTTCTTCTTCTTCTTTTTTTTTTTTTTTTTAAATGTATTTTATTGATTTTTTACAGAGAGAAAGAGAGAGGGATAGAGAGTTAGAAACATCGATGAGAGAGAATCATCTATCAACCGCCTCTTGCACACCCCCCACTGGGGATGTGCCCGTAACCAAGTTACATGCCCTTGACCGGAATCG